ATATATATGTTGAGATTTTACTTTCATTATTTATTTAGTCATTTTTGGTCATTCCAAACATACCCCACTCATTTCTTTTTAAAATGTCCGTGTATTTGCTTTGCTCACTATATTCACTTTGACACCGGCTGAATTTGCATCTTTCACAATGAAGCTCTGACTTAGTTTAAAAATCATCTTTGTATTTCCGTTCTGTAATTTCAATTATATTTGCATCTTTGGACTCTTTAAAACCAACCTTTGGGTATAACAACACTCCAAAGAGTTCCATTTAATTCACACAAATCATTTAAAAAGCATATAAATGGAAAGTGTCAAAATTAAGTTAGAATAAAACTTTTGATTAAATATACATTAGTTTTTTTTTTTTTTTACCTGTCAGGAAACCTACATGTTAGTCCTTGGTGACCCATCGTAGTTCACTCTTTTTGTTTTGCAGCTCTGAAAGGTCAACGGCAGGTCCAGGTAACTTTGCGCCAGGGAATATTTTCTTCTCCTCTGGTGTCTGGGTTTGTTGGCATTCTGGTGCTTCTGGTGGCTGGCCCTTCAGGGGGATTTTTTTTAAAAAAGAAGCCAAATATGTCAATAGCAAAAGGAACAGTGCGAAAAGAAAAGACAACAAGGAAGGTCAAAGAGGATTTATATGGATGAAGACAGGGGACATGGAAGTAGTTAGAGTGAGATGGAGAAGCATGACTTATGCCAACCCCTGAAGAGGGAAAACTGAAAGAAATGTCAAACTCAAGACCTACGAACCAAATCGAGCCCTCTTTAATATTTTTTATTRAGCCCCAAAGGTAGTATTTTAAATGTAAAAAAAAATCATTTTATTGTTCTCTTTTTGTCACTTCTTTTTTCATTAATCAATTTTAATTAGCTTTTTTATGTGCTGCTCTTATTAGAACATGTTATTTTTTTTTCTGTTTTTCCCATAACATTCTTTCAAAAGCAAAATTATTTGGGCTAACATTCAACTGTATTGATGTTTTTAAATTTGATGCACCTTCAATTTTTAACTGGTAAAGAATGACGTGCTGTAACAACTGAGTGTAAGCTAATGCTATCTTGCAAAACAAGAAAAGTGATGTGCTTTTTAGTAGATATTTGGTTTCACTTCCTACTACGTTTGTGTTGCAAAACACTAAATACGTAGCTTTGCCTTACAGTTTTTATTGTGTGTGTGTGTGTGTGTGTGTGTGTGTGTGTGTGTGTGTGTGTGTGTGTGTGNGTGTGTGTGTGTGTGTGTGTGTGTGTGTGTGTGTGTGTGTGTGTGTGTCATCCTGATTTGTTTAGGGAAATTTAAAGGTGTTCAAATTCACACTCCAAATCAAATTGGTCAGACAACATTTGGAGGATTTTAGTTGTGCTTTACATTTGTATAATGGATTAAATARGATCATGTTTTGACCTAATAAACAACTACACTAATTAGCTGAAGAAAAAAAACAAGCATAACACGTTAATCGTTCATCATAAATTGATCTAGCTCTGTTTTGACATTGTCATAGGATCAAAATGCGAGAAGAATCAAGATAAGGTCCTGTATTTTAGCACTGGATTAACATGCAAAAGCCCTCGAGTGGATATCATCATCATCATCCAGGATCATCTTTAAAAAAAATTTGTAAAAGTCTCACCTCTTCTGTGTCTACTGTTTCCTCTCTCCTCTTCACAGGAAGTCCCGCCCCTGGACGCAGAGCTCCCATCGGGATGTTCAAATTAGCCTGTGGGAAAGTGGGAGAAATGCCTATGTGATCCTTTCAAGCATCCAATGAATAATGCCCAGTGTCTCTGTTGATGTTTGGTTTCCTGCTCTTCTTTCCTCAAATTATTTTGTTTGGTTTATAACCACTACTTCCTGATCACTGGCAGTCCCTAAAAAGGGATCTGTATATTCCTGAAAATGGGGACAAGATCAGATCTGCCTGCCTACTCGATGTTCCACCGCTGCCTGCTCTGACGTCCCGTCCTTTGGGTTCCATGTGTTTGTTTTGTACTGCACAGTAATGTATAAAAGCCAATAATGTATAGCTGTACAAAGTGGGAATATTTCATAAAGATATGGATAGATGTTCTATAAAAGAGTTAAATATTTTAGAGGTATTCAAGTTTTGTGACTAGAGGGTAACTCTGGACGAAAGCTCACCTCATCTGCAGCATGTATGCTGATGTTTGTGTTACTGTAACGTTGCTTCGGCTGGAATTGTTTACTGTCTTTATGCTAAGAGCGCTGTCAGCAGCTATCTCTTGATGTTTCACCAAAGCTATGACAGACTAAATACGTTTTGTTTTCCAGGAATAAAATATTAGCCTTTATGCTAACAAACTCTCAGCCTCCTCCACTTTGCAAAGTTTTTTTTTTTTCACAAATGGTTAAGGAGTTCATCTGAAGTGAAAGCAAACCTGCAACTTTGTGTAGTTTATAAAATGCAAGCAATTTCAAATGAGTTTATTATATCTGCCATTCACTCCCAAGCAGTTCTCGTTAGCCTTTTTTATGTATTAGGTAACAGTTTGTAAATTAGCAAAAGTATACGTATGTGGTAATAATGCCAAAAATCACCACTAAAAATTTATTGTGTAGTTTGTCTTTTGTTGTGTATCTGTGAAAACAATTAGAACATTTTTTTAATCCTAAAGGAAATACTGGAAAATTCAGTCCCAGCACAGTTGATAATTATTGTAAACATTGGATGCAGTTTTGCAGTAATCCTATACCTGATTTACTTGGATGAGCTAAGTCCACAAATGAAGCAATATGAATGTTATTAATTGTTTTCAACTAGAGAGTCAAAAACAAAATCAAGACTGGGAGATTTTTATGATGAAATAAATGTATGGAACCACACCAAAACCCTTTTGGCTGAAAAAATAATGCTAATTCAGTAAATTCATGCTGCACAGTCTTCAAGAAAGTCCATTTMTCCCAAACCATAACACTTCCACTGCCATGCTCAAAGTATGTATAAATAAATTGAAAAGTGTCTCATTAAATTGAATTATCTGTATCCAATTAGTACAATAATTATTTGTTTAATTATTATTATTATGTATTATTTGTGCCACGAATTGTAAGTATTCACATTGTAATAAGTTTATCAACCCTTTTAAATTTTTTTCAGTCAAAAAAGTATCCAAACTCTTTATTCCAAAGTCCTTAGAAGACATTTTAAATATTGGCATCAGGATATAACACTACATGCCAAATTTATTAGAAATGTTGTAATGTCTGTTTTGTTTAGTTCGAATGTGGAGACATTGTGATTTTTTTCTGTGGGACTAAGAGTTTAGTTGTGCTGATAGAAAATGTAACAAAAATAAAATAAACTCAGATAAAATGGATTTCAACAGTTGACAAAGTGTATGCCTACATTTTACATAGGGCAATTTTATTTTAGATTTGACCTAATTTAAGCAATATTCCACTATTTAGTACTGAGCTTTTAGTATCAAAAATAAAAATAGTGAATAAAAAATGTGTCAGCAAAAAAAAAAAAAATAAATAAATAAAAATCACTTTTTTTCTAACTTCAAATTTTCTCTACACTTGGCCCTTTTAACCTGTACAGGGCCCACAAGAGAACTGAAGGAGATAGTTATTCCAAAACCCTGTGGGCTTAAAAGGCTGGGGATCTGAATAAAATAATTTAAAAAATAGTTCCCATCTTTTTGTCTGACCACCTTTGTTATTTGCATTGTTTAAAAAACAATTATTATAATAACTTGCTTTTTTATTTCATAATGGAGTAACTAGGCCACATTTCCTACAACTAAACATCCTTTTTTTAATCCCATGAATAATAACCACCAACCATTTTCTACATCCTGGTGTTACTGCATGCAAATATTATCTCACAATGGATTGAGAAACAATCATTTAATATAGCTTCATAGGCCTCAATTATTGAGCTACAATAGCTCACGATATACACAAAATAATATGTCCCAATATGCAAGATTTGTGTTCTGCTTTAAGATCAAATATATAAAAGCCAAACTACAGGCAAAGCAAGGGTCATTGAAAACATTTATATTATAAGTGCACTGATTACTATCAATTCTAGCATTGTTTTAAATGAAATTAAGCACTGCAGTAGATAATTTTATCAGCTGATAATATTTCTCGTCACAGTGATGAGGTAATGTCTGTCTTGGAAATACAGTACCTGTAATATGACTTTTAGTTTCATTTGAAAAATGTTTTGAAAAATAGAATTGATTTGTCAGATCATTTTAATATGCAAAGCTACTGACATGAAATTAAAACTATTTTAGGAAAATGTATTGATTCAGTTTTTTTTTTCAGTCTATTTATATGGTGAAGTTGCAGCTGTTTTTGTTTGTGGAAAAAAAGGTAAAGACTCTTTGTTGGAGGTTGAAATAAGAAACTTGTGGTGTTAAAAAAACTGTTCTGATGCCTATCCCATGGTTAGACATAAAAATGAGCACAATGAACGGAGCCCTCTCTGACACACACACACACACACACACACACACACACAC